CTCGGCGGCGCTGACGGAAATGGTGTAGAGCGCTCGGCCGAGGCGTGATTGCGCTGCTTGGTCGACCCCCCAACTCACCAGCCACGCCCAACCCGAATAGAAGAAGAGCAAGACGAAGAACGAAAAATAAAAAGGAGGGTACGAAAGAAAAAGGACAGTAATGCTGCACCGCACAAAAAGGTATACCATCATCATCACATAAACCGAAGGCAGGTACACTCTGGGCATGGGGAGTGCGTTATTTCAGGAGCAGGCCGCGCCTGTTTGAAAGAGGACGACCCCCCAAACAGTCATCGTGTGACGCTAGCCTGACTGGGCAAAAAGAAGAAAAAAAAGAAGGAAAAAAAAACAAACAACAACAACAACTATTTCTCATGGAACAATAAATGAGTCGATATTTCCGTTCCGTGCCCCCGGCTGCGCCCCCGGCTGGCTCGGCCCGCATGCCTCAGGCGCGCAGGCAACAGGAGAGAGAGTGTACGGGGAGAGTGGAGCTGCGCCAGGTGCGCGCTCATTACCGTTGACCTGCAGCAGCGCCGTGAGCGACACGACGGCGGCCTGGTTCGACACGCGGCACGTGTAATTGCCGCTGTGCTCCAGGGCGACCGCGCCGATGCTCAGCGCGCTGCTAAAGTCGTCGTTCTGCCGCACCGACACGTCGCCCGGGACGGCGGTGGCCCCGGCCCCGGCGGCCCCGGCGGCCGGGTGGTGGTGGTGGCCGGCGCCCCCGACCGGGTGGCCGTCTTTGAGCCAGGCGAACGACAGGGGTAGGTCCCCGCTCACCACCACACACTGCACGCTGGTGCGGTCGCCTACGTTTAGATCGCGCGGGAAAGTGATTGGGGTGATTTTGGGTGGCACTGTATGGGGCAAGAATCAAAACAAAAGTGAGCATCTCTGAAAACGTGGTCATGGCGATGGTCGTGTTGGTAGACGGTGGTGGTGGTGGTGATGGCGGTAGTGATGGTGGTGGTGGTGATGGTGGTGGCGGTAGCGGCGGCAGGGGCGCCCGTCGGGGAAGAAGACAGTCATATCGTCAAACAAGTCGCTTCGTCTGTCGGACGAAAAACATCCAACAAATGGCTTCAGAGGCAAAGTTACTCTTTTGAAATGCATTTCCAAATATATGTCTAAAAATGTCACGCCTCTCCAGGCGAGTGTCTGATGCAGTCCCCCCCCCCTCCCCCCCGTCAGCGCATTCATAATGTGGACTCTCTTCTCCCGTTCACGAGTACCGTAGTGTAATTTTCCGCAGCGCGCCAGATAAACGCGCCTCGCTTTATAAATAAACTTTTTCACGACCTGTTGAGGGGAGCGAAGTACCGCGGGGAGCGTGTGGGAGTTTTATCTCCAGCGAGACTCTCCGCTCCTCGCGTCGTCCTCCTCACAAAATTAATGAAGCGGCAGGAGAGCGAGGGGGAGAGAGAGAAAGAGAGGGAGGGAGAGAGGGAGAGATAGAGAGAGAGGGAGAGGGAGAGGGAG